ATATATCACAACTCGCTATTTGATTTCATCTGAGAACTGTGACTTTCTGAATAAGTGGAAAATATCAAAATTCGAAATTGCTTTTACAGAAGATTTAAAGCCTTGGTACGTCAAAATCTGGAAACTTATCATGGTTACATACAGAATCAAATTTGCAGATTATGAGATGCTCTTCAATTCAAAATATATCACAACTCGCTATTTGATTTCATTTGAGAACTGTGACTTTCTGAATAAGTGGAAAATATCAAAATTTGGAGTTGCTTCTACAGAAGGTTTAAAGCCTTGGTACGTCAAAATCTGGAAACTTATCATAATTACATACAAAATCAAATTTGCAGATTATGAGATGCTCTTCAATTCAAAATATATCACAACTCGCTATTTGATTTCATTTGGGAACTGTAACTTTCTGAATAAGTGGAAAATTTCAAAATTCGGAGTTGCTTCTACAGAAGGTTTAAAGCCTTGGTACGTCAAAATCTGGAAACTTATCATAATTACATACCAAATCAAATTTGCAGATTATGAGATGCTCTTCAATTCAAAATATATCACAACTCGCTATTTGATTTCATCTGGGAACTGTAACTTTCTGAATAAGTGGAAAATTTCAAAATTCGGAGTTGCTTCTACAGAAGGTTTAAAGCCTTGGTACGTCAAAATCTGGAAACTTATCATAATTACATACCAAATCAAATTTGCAGATTATGAGATGCTCTTCAATCCAAAATATATCACAACTCGCTATTTGATTTCATCTGAGAACTGTGACTTTCTGAATAAGTGGAAAATATCAAAATTCGAAGTTGCTTCTACAGAAGGTTTAAAGCCTTGGTACGTCAATATCTGGAAACTTATCATAATTACATACAAAATCAAATTTGCAGATTATGAGATGCTCTTCAATTCAAAATATATCACAACTCGCTATTTGATTTCATCTGGGAACTGTAACTTTCTGAATAAGTGGAAAATTTCAAAATTCGGAGTTGCTTCTACAGAAGGTTTAAAGCCTTGGTACGTCAAAATCTGGAAACTTATCATAATTACATACCAAATCAAATTTGCAGATTATGAGATGCTCTTCAATCCAAAATATATCACAACTCGCTATTTGATTTCATCTGAGAACTGTGACTTTCTGAATAAGTGGAAAATATCAAAATTCGAAGTTGCTTCTACAGAAGGTTTAAAGCCTTGGTACGTCAATATCTGGAAACTTATCATAATTACATACAAAATCAAATTTGCAGATTATGAGATGCTCTTCAATTCAAAATACATCACAACTCGCTATCGGATTTCTTTCAAGAACTGTTACTTTCTGAATAAGTGGAGAATATCAAAATTTCAAATTGCTTCCACAGAAGTTTTAAAGCCTTGTTACCTCAGAATCTGGAAACTTGTTATAATTACATAGGAAATCAAATTGGCAAATTATGAGATGCTCTTCAATTCAAAATATATCACAACTCGCTATTTGATTTCATCTGAGAACTGTGACTTTCTGAATAAGTGGAAAATATCAAAATTCGAAGTTGCGTCTACAGAAGGTGTAAAGCCTTGGTACCTCAGAATCTAGAAACTTATCATAATTACATATAAAAGCAAATATGTAGATTATGAGATGCTCTTCAATTTGAAATATATCACAACCCGCTATCTGATTTCTTCTAAGAACTGTGATTTTCTGAATAAGTGGAAAATATCAAAATTCGAAGTTGCATCTACAGAAGGTGTAAAGCCTTGGTACGTCAAAATCTGGAAACTTATCATAATTACATAAAAATCAAATTTGCAGATTATGAGATGCTCTTCAATTCAAAATATATCACAACTCGCTATTTGATTTCATCTGAGAACTGTGACTTTCTGAATAAGTGGAAAATATCAAAATTCGAAGTTGCGTCTACAGAAGGTTTAAAGCCTTGGTACCTCAGAATCTGGAAACTTATCATAATTACATATAAAAGCAACTATGCAGATTATGAGATGCTCTTCAATTCAAAATATATCACAACTCGCTATTTGATTTCATCTGAGAACTGTGACTTTCTGAATAAGTGAAAAATATCAAAATTCGGAGTTGCTTCTACAGAAGGTTTAATGCCTTGGTACGTCAAAATCTGGAAACTTATCATAATTACATACAAAATCAAATTTGCAGATTATGAGATGCTCTTCAATTCAAAATACATCACAACTCGCTATCTGATTTCTTTCAAGAACTGTTACTTTCTGAATAAGTGGAGAATATCAAAATTTGAAATTGCTTCCACAGAAGTTTTAAAGCCTTGTTACCTCAGAATCTGGAAACTTGTTATAATTACATAGGAAATCAAATTGGCAGATTATGAGATGCTCTTCAATTCAAAATATATCACAACTCGCTATTTGATTTCATCTGAGAACTGTGACTTTCTGAATAAGTGAAAAATATCAAAATTCGGAGTTGCTTCTACAGAAGGTTTAAAGCCTTGGTACGTCAAAATCTGGAAACTTATCATGATTACATAAAAATCAAATTTGCAGATTATGAGATGATCTTCAATTCAAAATATATCACAACTCGCTATTTGATTTCATCTGAGAACTGTGACTTTCTGAATAAGTGGAAAATATCAAAATTCGGAGTTGCTTCTACAAAAGATTTAAAGCCTTGGTACGTCAAAATCTGGAAACTTATCATAATTACATGAGAAATCAAATTTGTAGATTATGAGATGATCTTCAATTCAAAATATATCACAACTCGCTATTTGATTTCATCTGAGAACTGTGACTTTCTGAATAAGTGGAAAATATCAAAATTCGAAGTTGCTTCTACAGAAGGTTTAAAGCCTTGGTACGTCAATATCTGGAAACTTATCATAATTACATACAAAATCAAATTTGCAGATTATGAGATGCTCTTCAATTCAAAATACATCACAACTCGCTATCGGATTTCTTTCAAGAACTGTTACTTTCTGAATAAGTGGAGAATATCAAAATTTCAAATTGCTTCCACAGAAGTTTTAAAGCCTTGTTACCTCAGAATCTGGAAACTTGTTATAATTACATAGGAAATCAAATTGGCAAATTATGAGATGCTCTTCAATTCAAAATATATCACAACTCGCTATTTGATTTCATCTGAGAACTGTGACTTTCTGAATAAGTGGAAAATATCAAAATTCGAAGTTGCGTCTACAGAAGGTGTAAAGCCTTGGTACCTCAGAATCTGGAAACTTATCATAATTACATATAAAAGCAAATATGCAGATTATGAGATGCTCTTCAATTCAAAATATATCACAACTCGCTATTTGATTTCATCTAAGAACTGTGACTTTCTGAATAAGTGGAAAATATCAAAATTCGGAGTTGCTTCTACAGAAGGTTTAAAGCCTTGGTACGTCAAAATCTGGAAACTTATCATAATTACATACCAAATCAAATTTGCAGATTATGAGATGCTCTTCAATTCAAAATATATCACAACTCGCTATTTGATTTCTTCTAAGAAATGTGACTTTCTGAATAAGTGGAAAATATCAAAATTCGGAGTTGCTTCTACAAAAGATTTAAAGCCTTGGTACGTCAAAATCTGGAAACTTATCATAATTACATGAGAAATCAAATTTGTAGATTATGAGATGATCTTCAATTCAAAATATATCACAACTCGCTATTTGATTTCATCTGAGAACTGTGACTTTCTGAATAGGTGAAAAATATCAAAATTCGGAGTTGCTTCTACAGAAGGTTTAAAGCCTTGTTACCTCAGAATCTGGAAACTTATCATAATTACATGAGAAATCAAATTTGTAGATTATGAGATGATCTTCAATTGAAAATATATCGCAACTTGCTATCTGATTTCTTCTGAGAACTGTGACCTTCTGAATAAGTGGAAAATATCAAAATTTGAAGTTGCCTCTACAGCTGGTTTAAAGCCTTGTTATCTCAGAAACTGGAAATTTATCATAATTACATATAAAAGCAAAATTGCAGATTTTGACATGCTTTATAGTTTAAAATAAACTAGAACTTGCTATCTGATTGCTTTTAAAAGTCGTGAAATGTGGATTGTGAAGAGCATCAGAACTTGAAATTGCCACTGCACAAGATTTGAAGCCTAATATCTCAGAAACTGGAAACAATATCATAATACTATAGGTACAAAAGAAAATTTGAAGGTTTTGAGATTTTCTATAATTTAAAATGGTGGGAAAAACCACCCCCTCGAATTTGTGCAAACAATTCCTCAAATTTCCCGCAAATTCCTCCAAATTCCTCACAAATTCTTTCAGATTCCTTGCAAATTCCTCCAAACTGCTCGCAAATTCCCTGCAAATGACGTACCTCACAGGCCCTTGCATTTGAAATGTCTCCTAGCAGAATGTACATTTTCTATGTACAGCTTTACCTTCGTCCTACATGAGCTTTGCTTGGATCCATCCTCCTACTACTTTTTCAGTCCTTTATATCCTTAATTTTTCTCGCCTTCGCAACCATGCTATACTATCATGCTAAAGTTTAATCTTTAATAATTCAAATTGAGAAGAAAATACGTATTCGTATTTAACAATTTCATTGCATGTGAGAATTCAGCTTGCCCTAGGAAACTGTTCAGATAAGTAAGGATTTTCTATGTTATTTTTGTGGTAGATATTCATTTGCATAGACAATTTCTCTTAAGTGAGCTTTTAATTCAAGTATAGTGTTCTTATTTCCTATAGCATAAATCATAATTTGACTCCTTGTACTTTTGGCATTGTAGACAAGAGATATTTCCCATAAATCCCATGGGCAAATTCAACATATTACAAATAAAACAGATTCAAAAACGAAAATGAATACTTATGTAAGTTCGCAAACAACCCTAGGATTTCATCTCTTCCTTGTTCTATTGTATTTCGCCTATCTTGTAACAAAATTTATGGCAGCAAAAAGTTTCACAAAATCACCTAAAACTGATCCTAGCGCAGCTCACACAAAACGTAAAACCTTATCGCGAATATAAATACGATTTTGCAGAACGCACAGCGCACCATTCTGTCGCTGTTTTCCGCGCGAGGAACGTTCGAATTTTCCGCAAGAGAAAAAAAAAATCCGCTCGTAGAAGTTCGGAGGAAACTTAGTTTTCTTGTATAACTAGTGCGAAGAAATTCCTAGTTTGGCAGGAATATAAACACGAGTCCGGAGAAGTTTTTGCTTTTGGGTTTAAATTAGAAAAGTTTTTGTCAGGTAAGTTTTAGAGAAAGTTTCAATTAATTTTTCTACAATGTTTAATTGAGAATAGTGTAATTTAGTTTCTCAAATTATTATATTATACTTAGTAAATTAAAATTGTTAAGTTATAACACATGAAACGTACGCCCAATTAAATATTATGACCCCCAGAAAAGAAAACACCACTAAAAATTTTATACTTTATTTTTCCCTCTTTCCAATTTTCTCCGGAAATCTTTATTTTACGGTTTTGCTTTTGTCAATTTTGCCCAAAAACTCATAAAAATCCTTATTGTTTTCCGGGGCCATTATTTTTTAATTTTCTAATTGTATAGTATATTTGCCAAAAAATTTAGCATACATGACTTGAATCTTATAACGTTATAACAATGACAAAATAATTGTCGCAATTTTTTCGTTGGCTCAATTTCAAACTTTTTGACGGTTTCCTTCAGTAGAAATACGAACAAAATTTATTTCAGTTGGATAACAATAAATAAAACTGAATAGGTACTTTTTTGACCACAGACAGAGCAGCTGTCAATATTTGGAGTAAATTACTTGAAATTCTATTTCAAGTACCATCGTCACCAAAAGTAACTGGGACACAAATAATGCATAATAATCTCCTGGACTAATTCTACTGTCATTCATTTCAATGCATTTAATGCATAGTTTGACAAATATTTGACAATAAAATTTATATAATAGGACAAGAGCTAATGTGATGCTGTCCCAGTTACTTTTGGTGACGATGGTACATATGAATACTTTAGTGTTTTACTTGAATTACTTTTTTTGTTATGTACTTGTACTTCCAATACCTATCTATTCTAAAATACTTGGATGTTTACTTGATCATGTCAAGGATTTTGCTTTGAGCATCTACTTGTTTCTTGATTTTCTTCAAATAATAATTATTACAGATTTTCTTTCACAGTCCACTGTAATATAACATACCCGGGTTCGTTTAGTAAGATTGAACGGTGAGAATTTTTATTAGGTACTTTTCAAACAACAAATCTGAAAAACGAAATGAAAAACAAATAGTACCTACGTTGTGGAAACTTACTCAATTTTACTTACTGGACATGCGCCCGATATAGCAAATATTTGGGAAATTTGAGGGAAGTTGTAATATGTAAAAGAAACGAAAACTTTGTGAAACGTCTACTTTATTATTAAAGTAAATCGTACCGTTCTCATCCTGGAACTAACGAGGGGAAAGAGCACGGCAGAGAAACCCTCGATCTAACATTCCTCGAAAATCGAAACATACTGTGTCATTTAAATAATAATTGTGAGTCATTAATTCAATAAAAGTTGAAACTAGGTACTGCTCCTGTTCTTGTGCTAAAATTTTAATTACACACACTACATTCAATCAACACTACCTATATTCAATACTGCAGAGTTTTTTTGTTGGTTAGCCAGTTTTCCAGCAGGTACTGAGGTCCCATACGGGAAGCTACTCAGCTATATGTAGTTGTTTTTGAGCCAATATCTCTAGATTGATTATTACAGTTTGTTAGGATATTCTCTCGTCAGGGTAGGAAAATGTTAGTAAATTCAACAAGGCCCTAATGCACGCTCTGAATACACAAAATCAAAATCTCAGCACAAAAAGACAGCACATAATTTCTTCGGTTTTAATTTACTCTTTATCTGTGTCGTTTACAGCATGAAACGATTTTTGTTAAATACCTACATGAACAATGCACATGTTATAAAAAATGTTATAATCAAACCAAAAAAACATAGAAATGAAAAAATAATAATTCTATAAAAAAAAACTCTCAAAAACAAAATAATAATTAATCAACTGACCTGTGAATGCTCCTTGACACACAAACTAATCACAAATTCGATTGAATAATCAGTTTAATACAAAATAAAAATACATTTTGAATAATGAACAATGGCGGACAAACGGTCTTAAGGGACCACCCAAGCAATGGACCCAAGCGTCTTCTCTATCTTCTCGTCGCCTTCTACCTTCTTTTGTGCGGTACTCTCGTTCTCCCCTAAACCTAAACTTCGTGGCGCAGTACATGGTTGCAATATTTACTTTTATTTATATCAGAATATGACATACATTCTCGAATTTTGAATTAGTACAGACTATTTAATTATATATAAGTTTATGCCTTTATTTATAGAGAATTTAATGCTCTTTCCAATGGTATATAATTCGCTGCGGAATCTGCGTCTTAATTCTTCTCGCAATCTTTACTGAAAAGTCACTAGTCGACACAAGGACTAACTGTCAACCAGGTCTAAATATTGTACACCATTCTCAGGACTATCTTGAAGTGACATTATAGCGGCATTATAAAGTCCTGTGGAGAACTCACATTGCTTCAGTTAACTAATCACTGGCTGCTAGCAAGTAATAAAAAATGCAATCCGTTACTGCTGTGTTAAATTCCATCTTCAATAATAGTCTTCGTCATTTCAATAATAATCAAATGGTAAAATGAATTGGGATGCCGTCGAGGGCAGAGCACCATAAAAGTTATATAATTGCATATAATATTAAAAAAATTGAACATAATATTAATTCATATTTCCATAGAGAACAACAACAAAATGCACAGTTGACAACCAGAACCTATTTGAAATTTAGGTAAATTTTATGTTCCCATGTTTATCTAAGTGCATATTCTGGATTCCCAGGTCGTGATGGAGTTTTTGTTGATCCATCATGGCGGATCCTTGAGTGGGATGTTGAACTTGGCTACCTCAGAGTTTGGTTCCGTGGGATGGGTGTCTTATTACAGGTGGAGCTGGATTTTATAGATCCTATTCTTTGTTCTGGTTTTTCATCATGGCGTTCAGTTGTTGTTGGATGAGGTTCATTTATCGCACTAGTGATTCATATGATGTTTGCGCTGGAGGTTGTTGTTGCTGACAATGTTGTTGCTGGGTGGTAGTTGGCTGCATTTTTGGTTGTTGTCCCAGACGAAGTTTGACTGAGGGACAGGTTTGTAGGCGGGCTTTCTCTGGTGTTTTGGGTAGAGGTGTGGTGATCGCCGGCGCACTTTACACATTTGGGGATGGCTTGGCACTTGGCCTGTGAGTGACCGTGGAGCTGGCATCTGTGGCACTGCGTGGAACGTTCTTGTGTCCTTTGTGTTTCAACTCTCACTTTAATATGATTGATGAAGTTGAGTTTGTAAATGGAGGTCTCAGCGATCGGTAGGATCACCAGTAAGTGCTACTGGGGCTCCCTTGGCATTGTACCATCTTATTGCTGAAGATGGGTGTAGATTCTCTTTTTCCGGTTCTTCCTTAATGAAGTCGGTCGTCCAGTCTTCCAGTGGGCCTTGGATGACAACCCTCAGTTTCTTTTTCTCTGGGAGAGAGAAGAGGTGGAACGGTTTTCCGTTCTTCTCGAGGAAGACCTGCATTTGTCTATAGTCCTCATAGATGTGGGATGTAGCTTCATCCCTTCGCTGGTGTTTGTTGCTGGGCTGAATAAGATTTTCTGCGCTTTGAAATGGGCAGTGATTTCGTTGTACTTGTACTTGTTCCTCAGCACAATAGGAGGGATTCTTTCCCGTGGGAGAAGGGAAGCCGGGATATGGACTGGTTTGGAAGCCTTTTCTGGCTGGCCCTTGGGCGGCCGAAGTTGAGGTGATCGGTTCGGGAGTAATCGAGGCTTGGGCCGGGTTTCGAACTATGACCGTCGGGGTGACGGGATTTTGGGAGGCTCTGGTTTTTGTTTAGGTTGCTTCCTTCTTGGCTGTATTTCTTCGCTATTAGCCGAATTCTTCCTCTTTTGAGATGCTGCGGACGTGACAGATTCGATTTCACTGATATCGTGTTCATGGTCACTGTCGCAATTTGAATCCTCGTCGGAGGCTACTTCCATCGTATGGTCATCCACCAATTTGGTTGGATCTCGGACGTTTTGATATCATCCTAGGTTTGATATGCTTTGGCGGCGGTTTTTAAACTATGGTTCTCTTTGAAGGTGGCTTGGCATTGTCTTTTTGCAGTGGGATGAAATCTTGTTTAAGCGTGTCATTTTCTTGACGAAGGCCTTGGATTTCCTCTTGGAGACCCTTGAGTTGTTTGACGATCTTCTGTTGCCACTCACAGGCCTGTGGTGGGTCCATGATGAACTTTCACAACTTCTCACATTGAACACAAACTTCATTTAATACACTTTGGAAAAACTCTGAAAACTAGCAGAGTGCTCGGTCACTGAAAAACGTTTCACGAAATTCTCTCAGCAACTATCCTAAAAATGACTGTTGCTTCGAAGACAGCAAGCACTCGAATGACGCAAGAGCTGATTTAGCACATCAATAAGTCTTTGCCAAAAGCACCCCATCAGGAAGCAGTGGGAGGGTTAAGTCGCCAGGGGCCCGATTCCCGTCGCAGGAAGTAGAGCTCCCCGATAGAACGAATGTTCTGTCTTTGTCAACGTAATCGAAATGTAAACGAGAATGATAAAGACGAAAAATTTATTCTCTCGGGGAGCTCTACTTCCTGGTCCGAGAATCGGCCCCCAGGTTGGTCAAAACAACTTTCGGAAACGATTTTATTCCAGCCCAATTTTCCAATCGCCCTATCTGTCCCCACAAAAGTTTGTACCGTTATCACTATACATTGTCCTTGGTCGACTGCGCCATGTGATTTTTCGTTGCAAAGCTTGCATGAAATGTTTCTCCGATAACGAAGTACAAAGTTCAAAGTGTAGCGCAGGATAAACCGCACAGGTGAAAAGGGATATAGTGACTTTTTCGCTGTCTTCCACACCGGTCACCTCGAATACTGCTGCGTCACGAACACGATCCAAAGGTAATGGAACAACACTTGCTTGGAACGGTTTGCTAATATGTCGCTCACACACGCATCTTAATATTGCCGACATTATTGCATGACGTCCACCCAAGACCCAAAAATTTTCACGCAGAATAGACATAAGTTCTTGAGTTCCAACATGTTTTACGTTGGTATCAAACACAATATTCGTCACTATAGGATGCTTGGAGAGCAATAACACC